ATTGTTTAGTATCAGAGTGATGGATGTTTCAGAAAAAATGCTGCCAGTTATTTTTTTCAAACAAATTTACAATTAAAGTTTCAATACTGAGTTTTTTTAAGGAACTTTTGTTTTAATGGATTTTTCATACAGCATATCCATTCAGTGTTGTTTTTCTTGTACATGCAAATGAGCAACTTGTTTTTGCTTTTTCAGAAACAGTAACAGCATTTGGTTCAGTGAGAACGAGCTGTTTGAAGTCTACTGTAGATCCTGGTGTTACAAGACCAGTGAAGAACATTCTGGTATTTTGCCAAAAAGGGCAAACTTAATGGGCCAGATTCAGAGCTCTGTCATAGACAGTAGAGGAACATTTCTGCACAACTGAGGACCACTTAACTGGATGAGTAGTGCTGATTTGTAGTATATCGATTGAAAGATTTGAACTACCACTGCATGACTAGATACTCCGGAGGCCTGCAAGAAGCGAAAATGTCCTACATGAACTAGGGAGTCAGTCTTTAAGAAATCATCTTTTGTTCCTTCTCACATGGAGGATGTACAGTAGCTGATAAGAATCTCAAAAGGATTTTACCTGTTGAATTCTTTGTTGGATTTCTGCATGTGCAGTAGGGGATATAATAACAGTGCTGAATTACTGTAGATGTACTGTACATTACAGTGTATATTTTATGCTATGTATATAATTTGCAGTAATGTCTTAAAAGTGCTTAATGTAATCATTTAGAGAACTATGCTGCATAAGCACTATCTTCTCTGATGTAAATTGAAAACAACTTTTTGGCCAGCCTTTCTTCAGGATTAAACACAAGATCATGTGCAAGAGAGGTCAGCCTCTGAGGACTGCACATAATCTCCATTTACTTCTCTGGTCGTGTCTGTGAAGTAGTGAGTTTGACCTTCTGAGCTGAATAGCCATTCTGAGTGAGACAATAAAATCCTTTGTTAAGAGCTGGAGATTGACAATGGAAAGAAGTAAACGTGTATTCGACAGAAAGCATCACGATCCCCTGATGAGGGTAGCTCAAAATGCATTGTTTGACATGCGAGAGTCTATACTTGGTGGCAGTACCATAGGCAGCAATTATACGCGTGAGGCTTTTCTGTGTAAGTTGCGCCTGTTCTTCTTTGTGAATTTTCTCAAGTTCTGTCGAGTTTTGGGGGGATTTTCACCACTTGCCAGGGACTTAGGGATTGGCAGGACCTTTCTTCTTGTTGAACTGCACTTGTGTAGTTTTGGACCATTGTCCGGCTCAAAGGGGATTTGTTTCATTCCAGTTGTAGGTCTTTTGCAGACTAAATGTTTTATAACCTTCTCCTGATCTTTGCAACTTTATCCCAAAGTCATTTGGAAAGTTCCTTGCTTTCCATCATCAAATCTTTGCTTGAAACGTACTACTTGTCAGAAGGACCTCACAGAGACGGGTATATTTATTCAAATTCATGGCAGAGGACATTCAGTGAATTGCGTGACTTGTGTGTCAAAGTAATTGTGTGTACCTGTGGTAATTTAGGTTTACCATAGAGAAGGTGGTGATACTTACACAAGCAACTTATTTTTTACATTTCTTTGCAATGTTTTCTAATATTTAACCTTTCACCCATGAAAGCATTCAAGTCTTGATTAAAGATATTCACTTTAGAAAATGCGTACTGTACAGTACCTAGTTCAGGAAAATGTAATGTCATTCGAAGGGAATACTTTTGCAAGGTACTTAACTCTGTAACCAATATTTAGGGGAGGGTTGCCAAAATGTTGAAATGATATCTTTTCTAAACCATGTGCAGGTTGTTTTGCATTGTCGGTTTGTTTTAGAAAATGTACAGTAGCCATCATGAAACACACCGAAGGAGAAATGTCAATCCTGACTTCAGTGCTCAAGTGGTTGTGCCCTTGGCCTTTTCTGTGTAACTTCACCACAGAGTTGAAGAGTTCTGTGATATACACGTATTTATACTTTAGGCTGTGCTGAAAAGGCCAGAATGACTTTACCATACATATGAAAGAGAAAGGATCAATCTAATTTAAAAGCTAGTATACAGTTGCACTTATCCGTCAGACTGAAGAGCACAGTCTGATATCACCGTTTGTTGTCTTTCTTGTGTCCTTAGGGCATCAGTATTGTGGCATAATGCTATCTTATACATAGCATTGTATAAAATAGCACAGTATAAATGCATAATGGTCAGTAGGGAGCAGTGGCCTCCAGTCTTAATCCTATTGAACCAAAGGGCCTTCTGTTAATTAAATAACTTTAAACCTGTAATTAACTAACTGTAACCTGCTCTCTTAGATGCTGTTTAATTATTTTGTTAGAGTTCTTTGGATGAGCAACAGCTGTGATGGAGACAGACAGTGCACGTGACATGGCATATGTAAACTTTCAGAATGCTATAGATGAAAAATAATCATCAAATAGCTGTTGGTAGGCATTTAAGGTAATGCATGTCTTTAGATTAAGAGTTGGCAAATGAATAGAAAACAAACAGATAAGGAGTGAATGCTTAAATTAAGGTGACATAATCAGTGCCACAGGGCTCTGTTTTCAGTCAAATGTTCTTTTTAATTTAATTATCATACTAGATTCATGAGAAGGTAGTAAACTAGTCAGCTTCACAGATTATACTGTTAAATTATGTTAAATCTTTTCATTAATTTTAAAATTAGATAAGAAATATTTTTTTAAAGAATAGATTAATATAGGCATTTTCTCTTGTAGTGCAGGTGCCCCAACACGTTGATAAAAATGCAGTTTTTAACCATATCTGTCATTTCAGTTTCTACTGATGATATTCCTGTAGGCTTTCTCCAGTGTAAAAATGAAAGCTAGAGATACAAGAGCTGTTCTGCAGACTGAATGGGAGGGCCGGAGGACACCCTGTGCCAGTTCTGGCCATGCCCCTAGTGTGATAGAAGGGAGAATAAGAAGTGCTGCTGAGCTAAAGTAATTGCTCACATCATTAACTTTTCTTATGAACTCATTTTGCTTGTGGGACAAAGTTATCGGATCCTTCATCTATCCATCCATGTTTTAACTGCTTCCTCTAATACAGGCCTGTGGGGGAGCTGGAAGCAATGGGCACCAATTCAATTCCAAATACTTCATTCATCCCCAGGGGGGGCAATTTAAGGCAGAATTAACCCTTGACAGGGAAAACAAATACAGACACTCATACACTCACACCAGGGCCAGTTTTCCCAGAAGGCAATTAGCCCACTAGTATTTTTTGGGGGTGTGGGAGGAAAACCATGGCAACACGGGGAGAACAAACAAACTCCACACAGACAGCACCCCAGATCTGGAATTGTGCACAGGGCCCCAGCACCACTGCGCCAACATGCTGCCCCCATGAAATGTCAAGTTATGAGCTAAAACACGTATGAATAAAAAAGTAGCTTGGGAAATCACAGAGATTTCTGCTAGTGGCTGATGTCAGATCATTATGAGCATTGATCAGCCCCATATCTCTGGCTTCTCCATTGTGAGCGCACATAGTGTGTCAGCAGATCCCATGTGTGCTCATTGCTTCACATATACTGAGTGATTGAGACACCTACACTCAGGTTGTGTCTGAACTCCTGGCAGTGTTGTGCATGTTGAAAGTACCTTTGGCAGCACAGTAAGTTTGAGGTTTGTTAGAGCTTAGTGTCTTGGACGGTTTAATAAGACTCAGTTCTATATAAAGCTGAGACATTTTTTCTTCATACCATTTGTTGTACTGTCGTAAATAAAAAAAAAAAACTTTCTTTTGAACATGTCTGGGACTACAATGTTCTGGGATTTACTTTGAACCCTGTGGTCCCAGTTTAATTGGGAAGATTATATGAGCACTGGAAAGATTCCAAATGATAGGAGCCCATTTGGCCCACTGGGTCTGATCATTCTCTTTTCTCATTCAGTTCAGTTCACCTGTGATGCACAGTGAGATATTATTAGAAAACCTGCTTCAGAAATGATTTGGTGTGTGAAATAAATCTAACATACAGTATGCAGCTAGCTGTTAATTGAAGCCAATACCAAACAGCTGATGTCAGTTCTGTGCACACGCAATTAATTTCATTGCTGATATTGCTTTTTTCTAAAATGAGCAGTCATGTGTGCCTTTCCCCAGCTGCACTGTATGCTAACTATTTCATTTGACTCCATTCTTGAAAGACATTTGTTCTCCCAGATTCAGATTGTTTTTAAAATTACTTCTCTTATGAATGATTAATGTAGTTTATTTAGAAATGTTAATATTTTTTTTTAGGTTTACCATGTTTAAAAAGTGTGTTTACTTTGCTAAAGTATCTTTCACTATCCCACTGTGCTTTCTTTTCATTATAGTAATTTTCTCATGATGGAATAGTTTGTGATGTGCATCAGTGTGACCACTTTTTCAAAGGCAATGCTTTTATTTCTCCTGCAACAGGGCATCTCAATATGATGCCCAAATATTGTCAAAATGAAAATGTTTAATGATGTGTATATATACACTATATAATGTGAAATCTACTGCCCTGGAACTGTATTACAACAACAAGAAAACAAATGCACAGGATCTGATGAGATGAGAATACACAGTGAGAGGAGACAGTAGATGGGGGTACTGAATACAGTAGGAGCAGAGGAGTAAAGAACAGAACCAGGTAAGGAAAGGCTCTTCTAAAAAAGGTTTTGAGTCTGGATTTCAAGGAGCTTAGAGAGTTGACTCTTTCATATTCTTAGGGATAGAGTTCCAGAGCTTTGGGGCATAAGAGGAGAATGCCCTGTCACCACTAGAGTGTAGACAGGCTTGGGGTACAGATAGGAGACCACAATTAGAAGAGCAAAGCTTGCAAGGTAGGGAGTAGGACTATAGTAGATTAGAAAGATACTGAGGTTCCAAGCCATGCAGAGCCTTATAGGTAAGCCTGAGGATTTTGAAGTCGACACGAAACCTGACAGGATGCCGGTGCAGAGACTCCAGGACAGGAGTGATTTGATCATTTGCACTAGACCTGGCTTCTCTTCGCACAGGTCCTGTCCCTGGGCGCAGACGTCCTCCCGGAGTACAAGCTCCAGGCACCTCGCATCCACAAGTGGACCATTCTGCACTACAGCCCATTCAAGGCTGTGTGGGACTGGCTCATCCTTCTGCTGGTCATCTACACGGCGGTCTTCACCCCCTACTCAGCCGCCTTCCTCCTCAACGAGCAAGAGGAGGAGCGCCGCCGGAGCTGCGGCTACATCTGCAACCCCCTCAACGTGGTGGACCTCATCGTGGACATCATGTTCATCATCGACATCCTCATCAACTTCCGCACCACCTACGTCAACCACAATGACGAGGTGGTGAGCCACCCGGGCCGCATAGCGGTGCACTACTTCAAGGGCTGGTTCCTCATCGACATCGTGGCCGCCATCCCCTTCGACCTGCTCATCTTCAGGTCCGGCTCCGACGAGGTACTCCGAGCATGGGTGGGGGAGCGGGGGGCGGGCGTCTGGTCATGGGGCGGGGTCCCCCAGGCACTTCCGGATTTAAAAGATGCCACAATACTTAAGTACACCATTCTGTTCTGCCTGCTTATTTCATTTCCCTTTCTTCGTTTTCTGTGCAGAGTGAATCTGTAGCCTCACTCAGGCTGATAATATTAATTCCTTACACTAATACAGTGCTTTACTGGACACTCCACTCAGAGCACTAGACAGGTGATGGGGGATCCCCTCCACCACCACCAGTGTGCAGCCCCACCTGGATGATGCAACGGCAGCTATAGTGGGGAGGAGAGCAGAGTGATGAAGGCAGTTCAGAGATGGGGATTATTAGGAGACGTGGTAAAAGCCAGGGTGAAATTTGTCAAGACACCAGAGTAATACCCTGGGATTTTTAATGCCCATGGAGTGTCAGGACCTTGGTTTTAAATCTCATGCAAAGGACAGCTCCTATTTTACAGTATAGTGTCCCTGTCACTCATTATACTGGAACATTAGGACTCACACAGACTGCAGGGTGAGCGAACCCTACTGTCCCCACTTACACCTCTTCCAGCAGCAACCTTAGTTTTCCCAGTATGTCACCCATCCAGGTGCTGGCCAGGCTCACACCTGCTGAGCTTCATCGGGTTGCCAGTTGTGATTGTGACCTATTGACTATTGATAAAACCTGTTTTGGTTTTGCAAGACAAAAAAAGAATTTCCATAAAGTGGTAACTTAAAGTGCCCAGAAGAACTCAGTGAGCTTCTACAAAACATAGTATTACCTACAGATCAGAAGGCCTGCTAGTTTTAATGTTCTGTAAAACCTTCTCTGTCAGCCTGCGTCGATATGCTCAGTGTGGTCAATGTACATCGCATCCCATGAAGAACAAATCAAATTTAAAATGTTCCCACTGGAAACACAAATCTATTGCACTGCCATCATCATCACGGGTGCAACTCTTCTTACAATTTGACTTACAGTATCATTATGAAATAACTGAGTTCTGATCAGATGTTAATGAAATGTTAATGGATTCTGAAGACTCGTCTATTTTTAAAATAGATGATATTAACAGAAGTTGGCATCCTGCGTAGTTGGCACGTATAATGCATTTATGGGGTTTATAAGAGCCCTTTTAATCTGTGTTATAAGACTAGTATACTCAAATTGTTTATGGACATTTCAAAATGACATCTTATAACATATTTTTGCTCACATTTATATGTATCAGGTCTCCATAAGACATATTACTTGAATTAATTTCAGACCAACAGAAAAAAGGTACATTGCTTTTACCCACTCAGCAGATGACAATCAAGATTAAATGACTGGAGGTTAAATTTACATTAATTTGTTGTTCTGCGTAGATCGGTGTTCCTCAGCTCTGGGTCTCAGGGGCCATATGGTCATTTGATATTCATCGTTCCTAATTTACTGCTTATTTAACCAAACATTTTTTCTCTTTATAGCTTTGTTTTTCCAAGTTCTAAAACAGATAACAGAACCTTATAAAACCATCAAATCTGCTGGATACCAGTCCCCAAGAGCAGTGCTGAGGAATAATCATGCAGACTTTCATGCTTCACACTCATAGCATGCAGGACAAGAAGCAACTCCTAGGAATTATTTTCATTTTGCCCAGCATCACTCATGTCAGTTGAAGTTTTTAGATCTCTTACTTTGGGAAGGGTGTGTGCTACATTATGTTCAAAGCTCTGTATAATAGTGAATAATAATAATTATTATTTTTAAAGAGCACTAATTGATATCCACACTGATTGTCACTCTTCTGGAATCCATGCACTCCCCCCAGAGCTCTTAATATCTAATGGAATCAACTGTAACTGTTGAGGGCTTCAGGTTACTCTTCACATCTGCAGGGCTATGGGTTCCCAGGGCCAGCAGTGATCTCGTTTCTCCATTCCCTGCTGTTAAAGGCCTCTGTTAAAGTCAGAGTGACTACTGAGCGTGCTAACTTAACGTCTCAATGGTAGAAGGCGTGCTTAAACGAGTGAGATGAGCTCATTAATGGCTGATTCCCCAATGCTGCGGTGTGGAAAACGAAATGTGGTGATTTTAATATTTAAACGATGTGGGATGTTAATTAGTTGTTAAAGCTTGTAGCTTTCTAATTAACATTCTTTCTAAACCAAACAATTTCGTGTGCTGCTTGGTTAACAATATACATTAATTTCCTGTTTTACTCAGACATTGTAGACTCTGTAAAGAAGGTGCTCTGTAGTGTTTTCTTAAAAGAAAGAAATGCAAGAGATTGACTCATCTCATCTGCACTCTATACAACTTGTCTCTTTACGAAGTTAAATTCTATTCAGTTATGTACATGCTATTCTAAAAGTGTCCCTAAAGAGTATACAGTAAGAACATTTTGTTTTAGATTAGTGTTACAGAAGTACAGTGCATTATTTTACAGCTGACAGCTGTTTCTTTCATCGAAAACAAGTATAGATTCATTATAGACTATAAATGCATTATAGACTGGTGTTTATGAACTGTGAATACCACCCTATTTGTTTCTACTTTCTATGTATATAGACGAAAGATGGGTTGAATGTGCATGTACGTGTCTAAGCTTTTAGATGCAGATAGCATATGTGTGAGGACCAGACATTGTGAAAAACTTTTCTCGAGACATTAAATGCAAAACTGGTGATGTAAGAACCAGTGAGGTTTTCATAACACAAATTCCTGTTGTAGACACATTATGTTTTCTTTGAAATTCTTACAATTTTACTTAAAAAGTAAAATGAGTGTCCAGTTGAGGTCCTCACAAGTGCAAAAATAAAATCCTGAGGCTCTGTATGAGTGTGTGTTTTGAGTCTGTGTTTGGATGTGTGTATCAAAGCCTGTGGGAGTGAGCATTCTGGTTCTTTATTTTCTGTCTTTATTAAGGCTGTGATGAACAGGAGAGCCAGTACCTTGCTCTAGGGGACCAGAACTGTTTCCCACAGCCCAGCCTGTTATTTCATACAGCTGAGATTACACTGGCATCTCCTGGCACTGTATTTCTTTACATTGGGGAGACAGAAAGGCCCTGTCATACAGAGCTCAAATGCTTCTGTGCCAAGCACTCAGTAAATTCCCAAACCCATTTTTTAGCTTCATTCCCTGATCTTGGAAGTGTGGTTAGTCTTGATATTAAAGCAGTCCCCAGTGTACTGTGACTGGTATGGTTTGTTGAACAAGTCAACCTTAAAGGGCACTGCAAAGTTTGTATGTTGAAGTGTTTTTTTTTTTATTTTTAGGAATTTTTGTCTTTGTTACTTGATATTTAAAATCTGGAAGTGTACAATACCAAGGAGCAGCGGAAAATGAGCATTTTAGTATCTGAAAACACTATGATGCAAACATTTGATCTCAACAGTATTTGAACATAATGAGACAAAGAAACAATCTTCTCATTTGAATACAGAACAGAATACTCATCAGGGAGTACAGCTCTCCAGTCTTCCCTCAGTGAGAAATTATCTTTCACTGAAACTAAATTTTCACTATGAGAACTCAATCTGCCTCTACTCCGCCTCACAGTCGGAGAGCACATTTTGCGTTCTACATTTTGGGGGGAATGTTGTAAATTTACTGAGATATTAATTTGTCTTAATATTGGTGTTGCAGAGTTCTGTGTTTTGCAAAATTTTGTTAAAAATCCAGCCAACATTCACTTTGAGCAGCTACAGGAGGGCTGCATATCTGTAAGGCCTACTTTTCAAAGTATCTGTGTAACTAACTGCTGACCTCTCCATCTCAGTTAGCAGTCCTGGTGGTAATTTATTAGTATCTTTAAAAATAAAACTTTTTGAATAGCAGCATTGGGTTGATGACATAAACATTAGGTGCTTTTATGTTGTTTCTGTGGAATCTGGGATTTTTAATACAGATATGAGAGTCTATTATTGTTTTAGTTGTAAGAATGAGTTGAAACCTTTTGCATTTCTTCTTTAATGACTTTAAATTATTATTAAAATTATTTCATTCAAACAGGGGTTAATTCATTAAAAAATATTTCCACAAGGCAGCCATAGACTGTCCTTATCATTATTATTGTTATTATAATCATCACAACATGATGACAATGTTCTTTTCTCCTGTTATACTATAGTAGATGTGAGAAATGTTAAAGTTAAAATCTTTGCTGGTTATGTGAGATAAAAGCTCTGCTTGTTTGTGAGGAAGCCAGTGACTATACTGGATAGTTATTGACAGGTCCCTTCTTCCTAGTGACTAATTCAAGGAGAGGATGGATCCCATAGGGCAGATAGGTTTGGGCCTAGCAGATCAGCAGCGCTGGTTTATCTGCGCCTTGCCATCTGTGATTGGCAGGTAGAACAGATAAAGGGATTAAAGACCGCCTGATAAAACTCTTTCACAACTCTGACTCATCTTATCAGACTTCCCCAAAACACAGGCTCAGATCAAAGCTCAGAAAGACCACACATCAAAGGAAATGCACTGAAATTGTACAGATCGGCATTTGCCTGCCTGTTCTTTTTCACAGCTATGCCTTTGTTTTCCTAAGAAAATAATTAAAAACTGTTTTTATATATATATATAATATCACAGTGTCAGTAAGAATACTATCTTATATAAGAGCGTAAGAAAAAGAGATGACAACCAAAAAAAAAACACTTCTTTTTTGGGTATTAGTAGCTCATTCAAGCTACTAATCCAAGATAGTGTTCTTTGCTGGAAACCTCTTCAATAAAGTGTCCTAGCATTTTGTTCCAGATACTTATGACTCTTTTTGTAAGAAAGTGCCTCCTGATTTGTTCCTAAATGTGCCTGCGAACCTTGATTACTTGTAAGCTTAAATTATTTCCATTGATTTACTTTTACAATATCTTTCAGGGTTCTGAAAAGATGGCTCACTCATAATCTTTCCATCGCTGTGTCTAGTGCTCTGTATCCGTAATCTGATTACCTGCGTTGATCTAAGTGCTTTGTGAGCACTGATGCTGAATGTTGTCTTCCTAGAGCTACTGAGACATTAAAACTCATCAGTCACCCCTGGGTGAAAGGCTTTGAGCTCTCCTTGTATATAATCTACATCCCAAACAGGGATCAGAAATTTCGCAGTACTCAGAAATGTCAGCTTGGACCCACTGAGTGGCTCCACCTCTGCTCAGGGAGAACCACTGTTGGTTCAGCTCTATCATCCAGGTTCCCCTGAGCACAAAGAACACACACCTTAATTCTATGGACTTAACAAAAAGTACTTTGGTGATTAAAAAATAAAATTAAAAAAGCAGAAATGTCATTTTTACTTGGGCGGAGTGAAAAAAATCTACTAATATTTACTGTTCTATTGGTCATTAAATTAAAGTAGTCTTTAAAGAGAAAATTTCCCAAGATTTTTCACCATTCCATGTCCTGTATTAAAGCATGGTGAACCAAAAAATATGAATAGCTATTTAATCACAAAAGCCTTTATTTGATCATATATTCCTGATAATATATATTAGCAAATAATGGCAGTGATTTGGTCCTTGAATTTTAAGACCTATGAATGTAGCTTAAGAACCACCAGTTAATTGCACTAGCAAGGCCCAGTTAGGCCCAAGGACTAACTGTTGCAAGCTATTTCCTTTAGAGACACATTTCCTTGCTGTTTCAGAGCTGGTTGATTAGGAACAAGTAAAGGTTTATTCCATGCTGAAGAGAGAAGAAAAAAAACAACAACTTTTAGGCTGTGGAGCCTTCTTCGGATGGTTAAATTGTATCTTCTCTCCTCTTTCACTGCAGTAAAATTAAGTTGTCTGATTTTACAGTACTGACCTGGATGACAATACTCACTGGAGCACCACAAACAGGACAAAGGCACAGGATTTTGCTGCATTTTACTGATGTGTTTTAATTTAAGGAAACAAATATAGGTATTAAATATGTTATTAAATGAACTACATCATTATTAATTAATAATTATTTTGTGATACAAAGTAGCCTACCAGGATTGTAACATTAAACATTGTTTCTTGACTTAAAAGTATAGTTATGAGGCAATTAACTACTGCTAGGTCAATATTTTTCCATTTTTCTGTGAAAGTTTCCTTTCTACTGGTGCGCTCCTTTAGTCTCTACATTTAATTTTTTACATACTACATTATTTACCATTCCTGAGGTCAAGGGAAAGCATCAGAAACTTGTCCAGAGGAATGGCAAAGAGGGGGTGTCAATGTAGTTAACTGCCTTCTAACTGTCTCTGTAGGTGAGCTGCTGCAGGTACTGCTTTCCACTCAGTGTCTTGGTTGCTCTCCATTACTTCCCCCTTCCTTCCCAGACCACCACTCTGATTGGCCTCCTGAAGACGGCCCGGCTGCTGCGATTGGTGCGCGTGGCGCGGAAGCTGGACCGCTACTCAGAGTACGGCGCAGCGGTGCTGTTCCTGCTCATGTGCACCTTCGCCCTCATCGCCCACTGGCTGGCCTGCATCTGGTATGCCATCGGCAACGTGGAGCGCCCTTACATGGACAACAAGATCGGCTGGCTGGACAACCTGGCCGATCAGATTGGGAAACACTACAACGACAGCGATGTGAGGTCGGGCCCCACCATCAAGGACAAGTATGTGACAGCACTCTACTTCACCTTCAGCAGCCTGACCAGCGTGGGCTTTGGGAACGTCTCGCCCAACACCAACTCGGAGAAGATCTTCTCTATCTGCGTCATGCTCATTGGCTGTAAGACCTCCTTTTCCCCCTTTACATCCTTCTCTCACTTTCTCTGCTCACTTCTTGTCTCATCACCAGTCCATTATGATAACTGGCATGTGTTAACAAGCGAGTGTTAATTATGTGGTTTGTTTTATAGCGTAATTCGTGATATGTATTTGGACAGCGGTACAGATTGCTACGTTGGTGTGTGTTTTACTGTGTATAGCAGATGTGATCCTGTTGATACGCTGTGCGCTGAGACATGTAACCGTGGCCCTGTCCTGACTGCTTGTCTCTCCACAGCCTTGATGTATGCTAGTATTTTTGGGAACGTGTCGGCCATCATCCAGAGGCTGTACTCGGGCACAGCGCGCTACCACACCCAGATGCTGCGGGTCAAAGAGTTCATCCGTTTCCACCAGATCCCCAGCGGCCTGCGCCAGCGCCTGGAGGAGTACTTCCAGCACGCCTGGTCCTACACCAATGGCATCGACATGAATGCAGTGAGTCTTTCTAATGCAGTAGGGCCCAGAGCAGATATGCCCAACAGAACAGCTGGGAAGATCTATATAAGGAGCAAGTGACTGATATACAGATTGTGGTAAAGGGTCACATGGAGCCATCGCCAACGTGGACATGTTTATTCTTCCAGGTTAAGTAGAGATTGTTTCTGGTCATTATGATAAATCTTTCAAATTTAAGGAACAGTTGTCTGTCAGTATGCACTGTTCTAGCTCTGAAGAGGGCAACGAATAGAAAAGAGACCTGCATGCATGTTGCCACATATCAATAGAGTAGCTTCTACCAAAGGCATGGTAGCAGTAGAAGACGTAGTAGAATGTGTTTTTCTTTTCATCGTTGCTACAAGTTGTCTTTTTTTTCTTTCTTGTTAGTATTCAGCTAGTATTCAGTGTTATCCAAGATGCCTTACAGCCAATGAACTGTAAAATTCTAACAGTGCAAAAATGCATCACATAGAATAGAAATCCCAATTTTTCCTAAACAGAGCATAGAGGTGCACAATCAGAGCAAATAGACCTGTGCAGTGTTTATTCAAGTCTGTTGACTTGTGCTGTATACTGTAGATGAAGTATTTCCCTGCTCTCTGAGCTGAACAGTGGTACTCTGTCTGTTACACATCAGGTCCTCTGCTGTAGGGGTGTAGTCCAGCTCTCCACTAAGACTATAAAAATAAATAATAACCTGATGGATTTCTGTCAGCTCATACTAGCTGTTGTCTACGACAGGGAAATATAGTATTATTACCTAAGCTCTAGGAGTATGTAAACACTCATATGTTGCCTGGGATTGTCTTGGTCAAGCCTCTACACTAAATTACTGCCTCTCCCATCTGGGCTTGCCTACTTTCAATATACTTGACCTAACTGTCTCTGACAGCAAATGCAGTTTGGTTATTTCCTCCAACTAGGTGCCAGTTTATACTTAAATAATTAAATATAAATTATTTAGGCAACAAGTTTATTTCTTCTTCTTGGATGTAGGGTAATTACATCGTCCCACAGCTGCATACATTCTTGTATTGTAGATGTTTTGCTGTATAAACACTACAGTCTTCAGATATTCTGTACTTTAGAAGCACCCTTGACTTCCCATTTTAATTGCCAATGGATCTTTTGCACTTCTGACAAAGTTAGCTGGCCAGTTATTACCTCTTAATAGAAACCAATATTTTCACTGATATGTTTCTTTTCACTGTAGTTTTAGACTGAAAGGATAAAACAAAGAACAAAAGATGTTAGATAACCTAATGGCCACATTGTGTGTTCTACTGCCAAAATGGCTAATTGACCGACTAACAGATGTATGTCTGTTTTTCTTTTATTCTGTAAATATTTATGCACCATTTTACAAACAAAGCCAAGTGGTGTGACCCTGAGTTCAATACTGTTTGTCCTAGATTCACTGCTAGTTCTACTTCTCCAACCATTTGCCCAGAGCAGCTCTGTAACAGCCCCTTAGTCTTGACCCTTAGACCACACCGCCTTGATAGACAACTCCACTATCTCTGACTCCCAGGGTCCAGGTCTCACTAGCCAATACTATCTCCCTGTCACCCTCACATCATATATTAATCTCATGTAAACGTACAATGATCTAGAGTAAATCTGAGCGAAAATCCACAGCTTGCCACATGCAAGCATTGAAAAGACCCTCCTCGCTCTCACATCTTACAGTGAGTCAAATTGTCCTGGCAAATACCTGCTAAAAGCCAAACAGCAAATTGAACAAGCTGGGTTGTCAATTTCATGTTAAAGAAGTCCATCACAGCAGTGCCAACGCAGAGACTTAACAACTGCTCAGCACACTCAATATCCCACATAATTGGGTGAATAAATCTAGCAGGGCCATGACTTCCAATATGATAGACCTCAGGCCAAATACACTGGCAACAGAAAACATTGCTGTCTGCATGTGTTCACAGTGTTACTCAGGGATGAGGAGTGAGGATGTTTCCATGGAGCTCAGGATCACATTAAAAAAATTAATTGCACACTGAAAGGAGCAGTTTTAAGGTTTCTGAGGTGACTCGGGTTTCTGACAAGGAATCAGCGTGAGGTATAATAGCCAGGACATCATTGCCCAGGGCAGTTCATTAACCTGCTGTGCCAGGGGTTCCCACAGTACGACATCAATGTGGCGTCCATTCAAATCCCTTAGCCAATAATACGGGCCAGCCAGTATTATTAGTCGAAGGCTCAATTTCCAGCACAGTTTACAGACATTCTAATCCCTTCTCTTGTTTGCATACTAGTATTTATCACAGTAAGCTAAGGGTATATCAGCAATGTCCATCTGTGCCTTGAACCCACGACTTTGCAGGTGGGAGTCCGGACTACTTACCACTTTGTCACCGTTACATCTGTTTGCTTCTTTGCCCCTGTGCTGCTGCAGTACAAGTGCTGTAGCAGTTTGATGAGTGGATTTGCAAGTAGCGATTCAAAAATAGCAATTAAAAATAGAAATAGCAAACGAGGAATAATTAGTAATTTTAATAGAAAAATTGCCTTTTACCTTCTAAAAGAGCTGATGACACCTTTTTTGTATACATTTCTGAGGCTGCCAGTTGAGAAGTAATGTAGGTGGTGAAAATAACCTCTTGATATCTTTCTCACAGTGATTTGGCTCATTTCCACACAGAAATCATCAGTCCTTATTGAGAACTTGGTCTCTTTTCAACTCAGCTAATCTCAAGGGAGTTATCTTTAGGAAAATGGTATCTGTGTGAGTGTTTTCTTAGAGTGACTGTATCATGTTTACAAATTGTCTAGATCTTTGCATTATATCATATTTAAAGGTTTTGGCCAGAAAGAAAATAGAATTAAATATCTGCTGTCTTAAAACTTTTTAAAAAGTATCTCAGTTAGCTTACTTTTTCTAATTTTACAAATTAATTTGTAGAAACCATCAAAACAATTCATAAAGGTTGATAACTAAATCTAAACATATAACTAAATTATTTTCTTTGCTCATATATTCTTGAACATTATTAGATATCATAAAGCCTGGATGTAGCAGGCAGCTCATAGAAATAGACCTGTTATCGATAGTTACAATCCATGACTGGGGTACAAAAAATAAAACTTTGCTTACTTTTGGTGACAATCAAGTAGTTAATAAGGCCAGGATCCCACATTTAGATTCAACACATTAAACAATGAGATGAACCTGAGCTCTGAAAAGTATTGCCACAAGGACACAATGGAGTGAAGAGAAATCAATATATTGATCTTAATGAATATGTTTTCTACTCACTCACAGTTTATAATTGCCGAGCAAACCATGGACACCCAAAGTATCACCAAGATCCTTTTACCTATGGCTGGCCATGCAGCTACCAAAAGGCAGTGTCACTAGTGTGAGGCTCAATTTCCAGCACAGCTTACAGCTTCTTTATACTTGTATATAGTAGTATATACTCTATACTAGTATTCATCACAGTGAGCTGAGAAGTGTTCTCCTGGGCCATGACCCCATGACCCTGTAGTACCCAAGTTCAGCCAATCCCAGAGTGGCTAATCGTGTCCTGCTGTCTGGTTCGGGTTTAATTCAGTGCAGGTCTGACTCCTAACGTTAAGGTTGCCAGCTGGCTCGCTTGCTGTCTGATCTGCTTTTATTGATAGGATTGACAGACTGCTAGTGGCTGGTTGCTAATGGGAGTTCCCCCTCTTCCTCTCCCGGCGCGTGGGCAGGTGTTGAAGGGCTTCCCAGAGTGCCTGCAGGCGGACATCTGCCTCCACCTGAACCGCACCCTGCTGCAGAACTGCAAGGCCTTCCGCGGGGCCAGCAAGGGCTGCCTGCGTGCGCTGGCCATGCGCTTCAAGACCACGCACGCCCCCCCGGGGGACACGCTGGTGCACTACGGCGACGTGCTCACCGCCCTCTACTTCATCTCCAGGGGCTCCATAGAGATCTTGCGCGAAGACGTGGTGGTGGCCATCCTGGGTGAGTCCCTGTCCGGGGTCCGCGGTGAAGCCGAGGGTCTGGCTGTGTTCTGTTTCTGTTTGGCTAGCTCCTGTACCCAGGAAGACTTACAGTGAGAAATCACAATTCATTCTTCATGCAGGGATGTGCTGGAGTGATTTATACATTAATAACTCCCGTGGCTTTTGTATAGTGCAGGAAGCAATATCGGAACACAATAAGGGGATTGTGAAGAAGGGTTCTTATAAACTGACCTATTCAAATAATGACATTTGATACATACTGTACTCTCAAAATTTTCTTTATGCACAATGACAGTCGCCACCACAGGGTGCTTCACCAGCTCTATGGCAAGGCAAGACGCTTGTTTTTGGAGTTTGTGTCCTCAGCTCAGATAGTTCATTGGTACATTTTGCATCAGAGAAAATGACAGTTTATTTTATTTTTTTGCAAAGTGAATGCACAGCTATTTAAAGTGAATTGTGATGTATTAATACTATTAGCAAAACTTTGGACATAATCAAATCCAAAATTGAGAGTGTATTGATTAACCTCATGATGAATGAGGGTATGTTTCATATTCATATAAGTAGCTGTTTGTGTATTCATCAGTTTTTCACATGAAGGTTTAATTCTGTTACGGATTTTTATTGTGAATTATTTTAGCAGCATTTGCTCATAGGATAATTACATTATCTAACATGGGAATTCAAATAAATTACTGAAATTTATATCAGGACTGTAACCAATTCTTCATCAATTTTTTACAGTCGAATCACTAAATTTCAAGTATGCAAATCTGCCGACCTTGCTGTGAAATTTCTAGCAGTTAATGGACAAATGCAAATTAGGAACTTATCAGGGAATTAATTAACAGCAATTAATGAAAAGCAGATGGAAACTTTACTGAGAAAAACAGTTAAGCAAAGCGATATAATTTAATATAGGAAGAAATTAGAGTGGGGAGCTGTATCAGGTTGCATAAATTGCAGAGGAACAAGTGAAGCCTAATTCCAAGCTTAAATGTAAAAAGAACAAACAACATGTTGGCTGATGAACCTAACTCAGAGCCTTCACACTTAACCTTTAATTGTATTTAAATATACGATTATTGAAATGTCACAAAAAGACCACTGGATTTAAAAAATCTAGTATCGTACTCGGCGTCTCTTAGTATAACAGTTCTTCTGTATTCCGTACTCTGTGACCTTTGCTGATAAGTTTGTTAGCGCCATCTAGTGGCTAAATGACAAATTTAAAAAACGTGAACGATAGCGTACAAGGGTAATTAGGTTATTTTAAATGAATTGTGCATTTGTAATCTCTGTGATGTGTTGTGTTAAGGAAAATGTGTGTGATGTGGAAATTATGAAGAATACGGGTTATCTCATCGGATAGAAAAGTCAACTCACAGGTGGCTGTTAATATATCCTTCACTTTACAGTCCCATTTAGATAGCCTTCTCTATCATCTGAGAACCCTGCAATGGACAGCTGTTTTGTTTTATACAGGATTACAGTCAAAGACCTCACCTATACTGTTCTGCAGTGGTTCCTGGATGTTGTCAAGCAACAATTCCGCAGAGATTTAAAGCTCAGTCCACGCAGTTTTTTTTCAGTCTGGGGACACTGTGAAGTCCGGTCCTGTGTCAGGATGTCCAGGGACTGTGAAGCCGGGGGAAGCTGGCTGCCCTGGCTCTGTTCTGTGACGCCACGTGCTCTTTGTCCCGCCAGGAAAGAACGACACCTTTGGGGAGCCGATCAGCCTCTATGCCCGCCCTGGCAAGTCCAACTCCGACGTGCGTGCTCTCACCTACTGCGATCTGCATAAGATCCAGCGCGAGGACCTGCTGGAGGTGCTGGACATGTACCCCGATTTCTCCGACAATTTCTGGAGCAACCTGGAGATCACCTTCAACCTGAGAGATGTGAGTGTCATGCCAGCCTCCGGCAGAGCCAGCGCTGCTCTGTTTCAGAGCTCCTGATCGGGATGGGCTGCAGCTCTGTGGTCTGCAAAGCAGGATTAGAACAAGAAGCAGGAAAGTCATATATGAAGAGTACATTCATAAGTACATACAAGTGCACTTACAAAATACAGAAACACAGACCTATAAACAGCCCAGACCAGTGATACCCTGTCTGTGCCATAATTAAGAGCAATTAATTGATTAGAATTGACTAAATTAAGTCATTAAGAGCAAACCAGAAGTCGCTGCACTGTTGCAGAAGCAAGAAAGGGGCAGTAGATTAGATAAGGAGCTGAACAAGGTAAGATAAGGTTCTAGGAGCTGAACAGGTCTGGAGGTGAACTGGATGAAGGCGGTCACTGGAAAAACACAATTTTTTGGGGGGATGCTTCTTCCATTGTCCCAATGCATTTTGCAATGACGCCATTATTGCGTTCATTACGGTCAGGTCAATTATGATTATGGTCCAACAGACGGTTTCATTTCTGTCGAACTCTGAGCTGGGAAATCTCACTTTTTAAAATCTGTAGTTCAGATGCTGGAGAGCTGGGGCTTGGGGAGAGTCCTGCAGGGAGACATGGGCTGCAAAGACAATTAGAACAGAGTGAGCTAAATGCAAGGGAATGATTGAGCATCTTATCTGCAGCTGTGTCCTTTTATTGAGGACTGAAGTGGATTCTGAATTTCAGGAACTTGCACCCTTTGACCTTCTAATAAAATTGTCGGATGTTTCAGGGGAGTGGGTGTTGCAATACCCGTAGAGAAATGGCATTGTGTAATTGAAGAGCAGGTCAGCTGGCGGTGCGGTTCAGCTGTGTGCCGTCAGATGGCGCCGGCCAGGCTGCCGAGTCGCTGACACTGTGCTGTCTCAGGCAGATCGAATTGCCCACCCCCTGACCAGCGAAGACTCCGACTGCGGGTACCGCCGGCCCCGGCGCCGGAAAAACTCCCTGCACCATCGGAACCGCCCGGGTAAGTGCGTGTGGCGATCCGAATGAAAGAAGCTCAGTTCATCACTTCCGGGTGTCGCGCTCGGCCAAGTGGCTGAGGAGCAGCAGCTGCTGGTGACATCATCACCAACCCGTCTCCCATCTCCAGCTCCCACAGAAACCAGAACTGGTTTATCACCCCAGTCTCCTCAGGAGAAATACTCGGACCTGACAGAGCTCACAGTTCTGTCGCTGAGTCGCCTCTGTGTTTATTCTCATGTTTGGCTTTGCTTGAACTCTGATCCCTGCTCTGTCACCCCTTGGCTTCATTAACTGATTGTTTTGGTGTTAATGAATGTTTTCTTTTTCTCCAACTATATTAAGACATATTTTAAAAGAATTAGGTAATTGCTAATTTTTATGATGACTTGCCTGGGTGGATCAGTTTCAATACACACGGAATTGCTGTCAAATTAGTTTGAGTGTGCATTGCACTTCCAAAATTAGTTTGTGGAATGTGTCAGTATTACGTCTGTGAGGGTAAAAATGCTGTTTTTCTTCTTTGGTCAGTATTTATTTGTACTGTCCTTCTGTCCAGATGGGATGGACAGGGAAGACCCCTACCCGAATCAAGCCTGCCCTGCCATGGGCAACCACCGGGGGGCGCCCAAGCGGCCTCACTGGAATGAGTTGTGCAGCAGCCCCAGCTCCTGTTCCCAGTCCAGTGAGGATGAGATGAAATCCATGGCACACAGCAAGGGGGAGCTGTATGCTCCTGGGAGCGACACACGTGACTATCCCACTACTGTGGTCAACTTGCTGCCCCCCGCAGGCAACACAGCCAGTATTGGGGGTCCGCTGGACCGAGGGCACTCTTACGCAGGTACAGATACTAATAAGTTAGACCCCTCCATCTGAGTGCTTGCTGCTCTCTGCTCTTCCACACTGGTGTACTGAACTCAATGGGTCAGCAGACCAGAGTCCATTTCTTACATTGATCCATCAATCATTGTTTTTTTATATAGCGCCTTTAAATCAGAGTATTCTTGAGGCATTTTACATACATATATAATTAGATGAAACTATAAATTTTAGCAGACAGGGTCGAGGCTTCTCAAGACGCCATCAATAACCCTGTCTCACATTTCTGTTACAGTGCATTCAGTTGTCCAGAGAAAGGGTGAATTTGAAGAGCTGCTCTTGAATTATGTAATAAAAGACAAGAAATATAAGAGATTTGACTCTGCTAAAGGGACAATGTCCTTCACCAGAAAGGGAATTGTTATCCATCCATCCATTGTCTAACCAATTCAGGCCTCTTCCAAAATCTGTTACATTCTTAATGCTTCTCTGCATTGTTTTTGTTCAGTAATTTTCATCCTTAAAAATGGTGCAGGTCCAAAGAGGAGTAAAAGTCAGGAAGTGTATCTCGCTGAAAGCTTTTGTGTTTTGAGTCGGGGGACTTTCTGTACTGCGTCACAGAGAAAGCACGCATTCTCATATCAGCCCGGTGTAAGCGCTAAGGCCGTTTTCCTCCTCGTGTCTTTAAGCGGCCACCCTCAACATGCCCAGCCTGTACGGATTCTGGCCGGACCGCCGGCCCAGCCAGTTCTCCGAGAGCCCCCACCACTCCTGCTCGGTGCGCGCCACCTTCCACCCCGCGCCTTGCGCCGAGGACCGGCCCAGCGAGCTGGAGTCCCGCCTGGAGCTCCTCCAGTCGCAGCTCAACAGGTGAGCACAGCAGCGGCGCCCCTGAACGCCGAGCAGGGCGGAGGACGGGACCTGACACATCACAGAATGGAGATAAACTTGCTGCTCTGACTGTCCAGTGCAGTGGAAAGTGTTTTAGAATGAGGGCTGACAAACTCTCTCTGCGGAGTGCAGAATAGCAGAATTTACTTAAAAAGGACATAACAACGTTACAAACATGAGGAATGAGGGTGCAGAGTAGCTTTCATACATTGAATCAATTGCATCTTTTAAATTCTTACTTAAAAATACCTATAGAAATGTTCCCAGAGGGCCAATAATTACGTAGATCAGTTAACTGAGAATGTAGGTTGGAATGAGAATCAGTGGACACCTCTAAGGAATAAATATTAAAAATGACAAATGATCAAATCTCAGGGGGGGCAGTCACAGACATAATCAAGCCATTGAAAGAAGGTAACCTGGGGTATGTGGGCCAAGAATTCAATTATGTTTTAGACGCGCCATCCTTAATGAGCTGATCCATCGTACTTGAAGCTTCAGTTGTTGAGATTTCATAACATCACAGTACGAATCCAGTCCTGGGGATCTAAGAGGAAAACAGTCAGTAGAGCAAGACCCAGAATTCATCACGGTAGATTCCAGTGAAAATAGAAACTGAGCACCAGGGAGAAAGTTGTGTGTCAGAGGAGCAGTAACGAGGGTTAGAATAACAAACACTACCCTGTTTTCACACGTCTGCCCTCCACCTTCCTTAGATTGGAGACCCGGATGACGGCCGACATCAACGTGATCTTGCAGTTGCTTCAGAGACAGATGGCACCGGTGCCCCCTGCCTACAGTGCCGTCTCGCCCAGCACCCATCCACCCCCTGCCCTCTACAGCACTGGAGCGCAAGTCCTGCACAGCATGGCACCCATTGCCCCCGTGCAGATCGATAGCTTGACATCACCGCTACAGGTACCAGTTGGCCTATCTAAAACTGAACACTGCAACCTATTGTTGCAGTGGGTTGAGGGTGTTAGCCTGCACACCAATCCACTAGAATAATACCATCAGAGACTAACCTCAACCTTATTCCTGGAGACTTAGGCTTGGCTGGATGGCTTATTCTCATCTGAAATATTGTATATTGATTTGATTTGAATAGAAACTCAGGAAAGAAACTCAATTGATTTGTAATCAGCTTATCATAATATATATCTAAAATAATTTGATTGTGTGATACAACTCTTATTAGGTTCTACTATGATAAATCTTAAATCTAGTCAGTACAACCCACAGAATAACAGAAAAACATTGGAAAACAAAAGAGTAATACATTGATACTGTTAAGTTTAATAAATGTTTACTGACATTTGTGACAAGCACAAATGAGAACATAAAAACTCTTGCAAACGAAAGGGGGCTTTCTGCTCATCGTGGACCTATACAATATTTTCCATTTGTATTTACTTTAACACAAAACGTTGTTCTGAAAAACAATGATACACATCACCCTGTGTAACAAGTAATATACCTGCGAGAGAAGTCAGACAGACAGCAATCTGGTCAGTACACCCAGCTGCACAAATGTAGCCTGACATTGTGAAAGGTAGAAAACTACATGCATACTTTTTTTAACCACTTCATCCAGTTCAGGGTCACAGCAGGCAACAGGCACAAGATGGGATACACCCTGGACAGGGACGCTAGTCCATCGCAGGGCACACTGTGTGCTGTATCTATGTGGCCCGTGATGGACAGGCGTCCTGTCCAGGGTGTGCCTTGCCATTGCTTGCTAAGGAAGGCTCTCACTCCCACACAGCTCTGTATTGGATAAAGTGGTTAAAAAATAGATGGATTATACTTTTTTATCATTCATATGAATCTCATGATTTCAAATGCTAAACACTTGGCTTTAAATCAGAAATTACAGCCGTTCCAAGGCTTTTGGAAGCCATTATGTATCATACATTCATTGTCATCATTCTTCTGATGTCAGTGTGCAGCTGTGCAGCAGGGCCATGTGACATAGTGAGTATCTGATAACACTCCCTGCTCCTAGAGCGACCACAGCTACAAAGTCTTCACAGCAGGCTTCAGAGGAAGGTTATGGTATCAGCTATCAGTAACGTCAGAGAGCAACCTGGAGAATAGATGACATCTCAAAAGGTGTACTAGTGAACTTATAGGTTCATACTTCTGATAAGATATGATCAAGGGAAAATGAGAAACTACAACCATGGCTCTATTAGCACATGATGACATGTTTTTCCAAATCCTTCTATTTTTTTCCTTTAAGATCTAGCACATTCACTGCAAGGATAATGTCTCTGTTGCTTTGTTCGCCCCCAGAGCCCCGACTACCCCGACTTGGACAAGTTCAACCTCAAGTCCCGGGACTCCCTGTCCAGCGGGATCCACCTGACAGTGGCCTCGGATGAAACCATGCCCATCTACCCCGAGACGGAGCCAGCCGCCCCGCCCGGGCTGGGTCACCCCCGGCCCCTGGCGGCCAGCGGGACTCCTGGGCTCTCGGGGAGCCAGCGCTTCCCCTCCCTCCCGGAGCACCTGGAGAGCTCCTCGGGGCCTGGCGAGATCCAGAGGCACGTCTCAGACCCTGCCCTGCCCGCCAGCTAGAACCCGCCTCCTCCACGCCCTTCTCCCCCCACTGGCCTTCCTCTCCACATTGCCATTGCAGAAGCCCTTTCGAACCCCCGCGGAGGTCCGGATCGGCTCAGGGACAGCGGCGCGGGAAGCTGCCAGGGGACTTGGATGGCACTGTGCTGCTGGAAGGTGGGTCCACCACCCTTAGGAGAAGCAAGGACAGCACTGTCGAGGGGGCAGCAAGCCCTGACTGCAGAAGCAAGAAGAGGCGAGGTTCTCACTGTATTTCTCACTGCACTGTCTGAATCTCCTCCCCTCTCGATGCATCGGAGTGGGGGAAATTTTTGTTTTTCTGCCACGGTGGCGTTGTGTGCTCTTCACAATGCCTTCTAGACATACACGGACTCGAGCAGTCTCGAACCCACAGGCAGCAGGATTGAGCAGTCCTTCCAGGATCATCCAGGAAGCTGTCTGGATGACCATCTCTGTCAATGTGGCGTAGGCACCTTGCTGCCTATTCCCTCTGTTGCTGAAAAGTTGCACGAAACAATGCCATGGAGTGAATAAGCTAACGCATAACCTGTCTGACACAATGTGTGACTTACTAGGGGGAGCCGGGGAAGCTGAAATTTATAAATTGCTCACAAGAGTTTCATTTATAAAACCCTATTGGACACTTTTCAAACCAACAGACGTAATTTAAAAGACATTTCCTCCGTTTTTCCTTTTCCATATTTCCATACCGTTCAATGGTAATAGCATTATGTTTTTCTAATGGACTGAATAAGCTTATACGTTTCAGCAGCAAAGAGGTTGTAATAGTGTTTAATTCATATGGTTAGAAAGCTTCCTCCCATTATAAACAGGTAATATAAATGGCAGAGTGATAGCAAGGAAGAGGGAAGCATTTCTCAATAATTCAGCAATCTGTTAGCAGGTTTCTTTCTTTTACATGATGCCTGCTAAGTTACAAAATGAAAACTTGAAAGCATTTTAAAGATGCAGTCTCCTGCAGCTCCCTGGGTAATTAATGATCCCATGAATTGTGACTGTGTACACTGTTGTCATTACCTCCTGTTTGTCTTGGGTTGTTGGTTGTGGTGCAGGTTTAAGCTATCCTTTGTGCTTCTGAACTTAGTTTTGGATCATATATAACAAGCACACGATCGCACTAACCCAGTCCCTGATCCAGAACCTGGAGAGAGAGCCAGTTCATCCAGGTTTCAGGGAGTCTTTATTCAGCAGCTATAGATCAGGTTAATTTTGACAAATGAAATAAAGAGGAAGCTATTTGGTGTGAAAACTACAGGATCCTGCTTTTCACAGGGGTGGCACTAAAATGATTTACAAATTGTTGTACTGCCAGTCATACCAATGTCAAGAAAGAACCTCATCAGTGTCCAGGATTGATAAATTGCCAATAGGAATAAGAATTCCTTTTGTCTTCAGCCTTAATATTTTATGTTTAAACAGAGTTGCACATGACTCGACCACTTTGCTCATGAAGAATAAGTCACCCGTCTCCTTCATATTTTGCAGTCTACAAAGTACTTTACCCACAATGATTGAGTCTTCTTTTCAGATGTATGGAAATTATATAGCTGGAAAAAGTGAAGCATAAAAATGATCATGTTCCAGCGCTTGTTGTATTGCAAAGGAGAAGATGAATTGCTATTGTGGATACAGTACTGACAGGACTAAATGTTACCGGGATCATTGCTCTCATATGAACTCCACAAGGCTGTATAATATAATCATGTACTGTTAGCAAAAGCACAGCAGACAATTTGTTGTTGCTCTTCTATTAAATGTGTCATGCTTCTAGAGTAATCTTTCTGAAAAGGAAATTAATTCCAGAAAAGAGCAAGCCTACATTGTTCTGGGGCACAAATAACAGATTTTTCAGAGACTGATGTAAGAGCACAACACAGAAACTTGAAGATGTCTAGCAGTAATAGTAAATACTGTTAATTCTATTTTGTAGACTAGAGCACCTTTTCACAGTGAGAGTCATCTGAACACTCTTCACAAAGTCACTTTTAATGTAGGGTACTGTACAAATGCTGTATATTAGAAAGAATAGAGAATGTCTATGAAAAACTATGTTTATATAAATAAAAACACAAATCTCATAAGCCAGAGCTTGTGGCCATTACTCTGAGCATCAGAAATGAAAGGTATTAAAACTAAAACAGATTTAAGGCAATACTGACCAGCCTGTGTGACTCGATCTTCAGCCTGCCAGTGCTGGATCATGCTTGTTCCTATCAGTCCTATTCCAATTGAAATTTAGGTAGAATAACAAGATCTGTTTTCCTCAAGGATCAATGCTGCCGAGCACAGCTTTTAGGTCTGAATTATGTATTAAATACGACATATGTACATTCAGGACACCTCTTACCAACAGCTGCAATGAGTACAGGATGGGGGCATTTGAACTCCAGCATATTTACTATAAGCCAATTGGTGCAAGTTACTTGACTGTAATGGGAACCACAGGTCATTTGCTTTTGTCCTATTGCAAAGGTTAGCAGCTGAAATTATTTTAATGAACCAGGTTTTAATCTCAACAGATCCGCAGTCAAAACATTTCTGACTCCCTCTAACCCAAATATTAGGAACCCCCATCTATATACAACAAAAAACTTAATCTTAATTTCAAGAAGTGAAATTTGTCATTTGTGATATGTACTACTGAACATTTGTATTTCAGATCAAAACAGAAATATGAAGCAGAAGTACAGAATGTTGGCTTTTCTCATTTTTAATGCATATATGTTAAGATGTGTTAGAGCAAAAATGTTTTTGTGTTCAATCTCCCCCAATTTCAGGTCCGCAGTGGGACAAATGAACTTGGAGTACATTAAACAAGTTAGTACAGTATTGTTATTTGTGACCCTTTGCTGTCACCAGCTCTTGTTAGTTCCTTTGAGGTGCTTTGTCAGGCCTCAACTGCAGCCACTTCCTAGTTGCTTCTTTAAGAGTTCTCCTGACTCAAGTTCCCTCTTCAACAAGTAAATTGTACATTCATACAATTCATACATTGGAAGATTCAGATCATTCCCAGTTTCCATTTGTCTTCCTGATGATGTCTTTGGTTAAGTGTGCAGTATGTATTGAGTCCTTGTCTTGCTTGAATTGCTGACTAATGCGTCTGCTCTTCCTCTCCACACCTATGCCTTTGATAAAGGTTTATGGTCGCCTGTCCATAAACCTTTGTTCCAAAATGGTTGGTGCTCATCTATGTACTTCTTTGCAAATTATCTGATATTTCCACCCCTGAACTCTAAAGATTGACTGTAATATCTTTTGGTGCTCTCTAGGGGATTTCTTTATAATTTGAATGTCAGGAACTACTGTCATCTTCCTTGGACATCATGGTCTTGATTGGGGGAAAAAAAGTACTGGAGGAGTGAGCAATCTTTCCATATTGTTACAAAGCCCAACATCTCTGCAGTGGCATTAACTGTAATTTTCTTTGCTCTTATTTTCACAATCGCTTACTTCCCATCATAGACAACTCTCTAGTGCTCATCAAGGTTTATGCCTCCTACCTGAAGAGGTAGAGCTAAAAGGTAAACTTCACTGGCTGGACATTCAGAGCACATTTTCACAATCAATGCAATGTGTAAAACTTAGAAACAACTTTCAGCCATTTTGAATGAGACTTATACTCACCTGAAATGAGTTGTTGAACACAACATAGCTTCACAAAATACCTAGAAACAAAATCTGAAGTGCTATACTTTTGCCTCGTTTGAATTGTTTGATCTGAAATAAAGATTTAAAAAGGACAAATTTCACTTTCCTGTCCCGATATACTCTTATCTGTACTGCCAGAGTGACACGATATACATTAACTTGAAAAAAAGACTTCCAGTCCCTTCCTGGGTCAGAACAATTCTGTGTTCTCAATCTGAATAAAAACAGATTAAACTGTTGCTCTTAGCATTATCCTTATAATATCCTCATCTGACTGTAATTGAAGTCCAAATATTTCAGAACCTTCTGAAATACACACCATATTAACAGAAGCCCAGCATAACATCTGTGGGAGTTCTAAATTATATTACTGTTGAACTTTCATTTTTATTGTGTTCTGTCTACCTGTCTTTAAAGCTGTTATCTACTGTAACTACACTGTCTCCACGTGATGAAAACAGTGTCTTCTAGCAGTGAAAGGAGATTAAGTATTTTCACAAATGTTAGACAGGTCCTGCTCTCCTCTTTGCATAGTGCCTCTTTAATTAAAAATTAATTAAAAAGGAAAATGGTGATCCATTGATCTATACTAATAGCATTTGATATGATGAAAGGAAAAATAAAGATCTTTTTTGTTTAGAGGTAACCCGGAATTAAAACATGCAAATGAGTAAAGAGTTCTTTTTGGGCCTGTTAATCCATCCATTTTCCCCACTGCTTTGTCACAGGGGAGCCCAGAGCCTGTCCTAGCAAGCAATAAGCACAAGGCAGGGTACACCCTGGACAGGACACCTGCTCATCGCAGAGGGACGCATCTTATTTCTTCTAACTGAACACATTAAATCCACAGCAAAACATCCACATCTTCAAAGTAATGAAGAAACCTTATGTTTCAGCTGAATTTTCTTCCAAGGGGGTATGAAAACTGTAGAAATGAAGGAAAAATTATGCATTTTACAAAAAAAGTAGATTTTAATAAATTAACTTATGACAGCCTTACAACACATTTCTCATAAAATCGCTTTTTGTGGGAGTCTCCATAGGGCAGAAGTTAAAAGACAGTCATTTGCTATAATAGAATGCAGGGTAACTACATACAATAAAAACAAGACATTCTACTGGCGAGACAAAAAGACACCGACAAGCCCGTTGTACGAAAATGTTTAATTTGTTGTAAATAAACAGCTATCACAATTTATTAAAGCACACTGCTTCAGAGAAAGCAAAAGGAAAATCACAGAGATTTACAGAGAGAAGAGGGATGTGCAGAAGGCAGAAGAGATGAGTGACAGAGGCTACTGAGCCGTTTGAAACCCAGAGAGCAGATCCAGAAGAAAACTGGTCCAAAGTCAAAATCTAGGCCGAAAGGCATAATTTCCCATTCCATTATCCTGCAGTAATTAAAAAATGGAAACTTCCATCATCCTGCAATGATAATGTCAGCTGTACTTTGCATTCTCTCTGCAGAATATTTGAGGAGGTTAACTGTAAACCTTACATTTCGGTAAAGTAATCCAATAATTCACTCTAATATGCATTTAATTGGCTGCGGAACTGCCTGGTTGTGAAACACAAGCCTTTGTAATGTCTATCATAATCACTCCAAATGCCAAATAGAGGAGTTAAACTTGCCACCCTGTTTTTGCCAAAGGTTTAAAACAGTCACCAGGCAGCAACCTGCATAAATTTCAATTTCCAGTGTGCTTTTCGTCCCCCCCCCACACACATTTTACAGGACGGGACTGGGGAGAGTATAGTAACTTCTGGCGGTGTGTTCCTAGCTCTCAGCGATTCAATGAAGCTTAGGCACATCTCTTGCCAGAAACCTCATCTTTATTCTGTCAAATGGCACAACCCTCTGTGCACAGCCTGGCAAGGGTATCTTTTGCCACCGCAGGCTGGCAGTTACAGCTGCAAACCACAGAAAGTAAACAGTGCTTTCCTAAGTACGCTATATAGAGATAAGGTCTACACATGACAAAAAAGATTATATAGAAAAGAAATTAAAAAACAGGAAGAGAATGACTGCCTGAATATTGCTATCAAGACCTTGATAAGGATAGAAGATGCATTATATATTTTCCACTACAAACATGCTAAGGGGTTGAGATGGGTAACCTTTTCATATTGAGCACAAGGGAGAGAAGGGTAAAAACGTACAAAAACGCAGAGGAGTTCCTGGTGTTAGCTCTGGACATGGCTCTGAGGCTGGACTAGGGCAAAAGCCACTTTAGGAATCTGCCAAAAAGCTAATGTCCCAGGCCCAGTTTGCAGCCAGAACCAGGACCGAGGGAGGGCTTGCTGAAACCGATCACATTTCTCCACGGATCCGTCCACTTAACCCCACGAAAGATAAGCCCCCCGGTGCAGCTGCTCACAGCTCCAGTGTGCTTTCCAAACATGGTGCAAGCCCGCTTCCTGCAAGCAGCGCAGGAAGAGCAGAGCTCTTGGGCTCTGGCCATGACGAGCCCTAACCCCTGGGTCAATAACAGAGCCTCACGAAACAAAGGGAACCCCAACTTGGCCTTGAGAGAAGAGGAAGGCATCTTCTCCTTAGCTTCTGCTTACAGAAATTGGGTCCAGGCTTAGAGACAGACTCGTGCCATGGAGGAGCTGAACCTGGACCTCCTCGACCTGTGTGTGGACTAGATAACCGTCCCTCTGTTATCTGGAAGAGATGCCCTTCAGCTTCTGAAGGCACACCTCTTTTGCCTAAAATCCAACCTCATGCGACCGCCTCATACACCATCACTTAGAAAGTCAGACAAGGATTTAGCTCGCTGCATTTCATTTCTTATAATTTAAATGTTTTCATTAACTATTTCTAAATTGGATTCTACATAAAAATAATAAAAGATTAAAAAAAGAGCCCACAGGCCTGGAAATACAGTTCCAAGTTTTCTGGGTAGCAGCTCTGAACAAAACTGCTTCCAAAAGGATTCCTTGCTTTGAATGCAATGCATTTAATGTTTGTGCGCTGACAAAGTTGTTTGCATACATCAAACTTAAGACAACTGATCACCAGGCTAATAAACGTTTCTTCAGCTCATTATTTCAGTATAGATTTAAATGCTCATTACACAAATCATTCATCATTAAAAATCATTCAGGGATTGACAAGTGGACACAGAAATGCAGATCAATTAAAAGGCGAGCTTATTGTTCAGCACCTTTCCTTTCAACCTAAAACAGTGCTCCAAAAGGTTCAGAAACACAGGAAAGAGACGCTCCTCTCATTGACCCTGTCAACTCAATGCTTGCTCAACACCACTTCAGGGTGCAAGACCTATAAGAGGGCATCATGAATTCAACAAAAATGCACACCATTACCATGGATTTGATTACAATAAAAAAAGATTCAAACTTTCAAGGCTCAAATCCTTTGTGGTCACCAAGGAGAAAAGATAAGTCATATTCCTTCATAATCCTGTATGTTGTGAAAAATATTTTGGTTACAGGCAAGCACATTATTTATTCACTATACCTGCTTTCTAAAACGTTAAGGAATTTCACAAACAGCAGACAAAGGACTTTGATTCCAGGGGAAGGGGAATTCCCTTACATGGCTCCTGGAACTAGGAGCAGATGGCGACTTAATGTTCTTTAATAATGTTTTAAATGCACCTCGTGATGTTCATCATGACAATGCTGGCTGGCTGGCACTGGCACAGACAGACATGATTCTAACCCAAAAGTGTACCTGTGTTGCATTTCTAGTCAGTTTTATGAATATTTTCTGTTAATCCATCAATCACCTGAAGCTAGAATGCACAATGCAATGTAACCTCTGCCCTTCTTCCACGGAGTGCTTGGGATTTTCTCAAAGGCTAGTACGGCTCCTTCACTATTAAATGCTTTACTTTCAATCACCCATTTTAATACATGCAAAACACAAAACAAAGTTGGCACGGGCAGCCATAAGGAAGAGTTTCAATTTTAAAGGTGCTCAGCTGTAAAAGTAATTAATTCAGTCTATCCAGCTCCAGACCAGTAGGATACCGAAGTCAGCTCCCTGTCTGCATGTAGAATTTATCCGAGGTCCACAATAAATCGGAACTCTAACCTTCCCGACCAATCAAATTCTAAAATCATGATTGCGGCTCTAAATAAAGCAGGTCCAAGAAGACAGAGATGCCATCAACTGACGGATTTAGGAACTCCTACTGGCAGGGACATTGAATGTCTGAATATGTCACTGTCCAGCTACAACTGACCTTTTCTTTAATGTGTCTGAAAAACACAGTCTTCATTACAGTCACCATTCTAGCCACAAAAACAATATCTGCACATATGAAATCTTCCAACAGGCTTCTGTGGTTAAAAGCAACATCCTTCCCTGTGGTGGCTCCATGGAAGATCTACAAGCCCCCAGAACCCATACTGATACCTCATCTGGCCCACCTGAGCTATGCTCCTCATATTCTAAGGTCTGGAACCACCACTCCTCTCTTGCACACCACCTGGTCAAATGAGGAGATGCACTCAGAGGCAGCAGACAATGCACAGTTGGCTTGTGGAGTCTGAGTCAAACTTCCATCACATTCCTCACCCTTCTCCATCCAATTAAAAAACGGTAAACCACAGACCGTGCCATTTCATCCTTCGCGCTTCTTGCTAGAACAATGAGATGGGACCAAACAATGATGTCAGACCTTGTACAGTACATGCCACGTCGTATTCCAGGTCTTCTGGCTGCTTACAAAACAGCAGTATATGGGTTGGGGGGAGGGGGCTAATATTTTGGCCAGTGAGTGTGCAATGAGCTTTGTCAAACCATCGATTTTATCCTTGTTTTAAAAAAATAGGAATATGAGTCCCCAACAATGAAATGCAGTGATGTATTTTGCCACTTTTCTATTCTTCAGACCTCAAAGTCTTCTTCCTTGCCTTGACCCACTCCTCTCCCCTCTCCTGCATCGCCAAACCCAAAGCGCTACCCCACACCCGCCTGCCCTGGCACCTCTGGGCAGGACTAGACCCTGAGGATCTCCAGGCAGTTGTTGTAGCAGATGGCGATCCAGTCAGGCTGGGTGGAGGCCCACTGCACATTGTTGATCTCTCCCTCGGCGGTGTAGGCCAAGATAGGGTCCTCAATGGCACGGGGCATCTGCTGTATGTCCCAGATCAGGGCCTGGTGGTCATCAGCTACAAAGACACCAAAATGTCAGCCACCTTTGCACACAGGCAATGCAGGCATTAAGCAAAATCATCTCCCGATGACTTTTCACAATAGTCTCTCCACATGCACAAGCTTCATCATTCAATTACACCCATTTCTTCCAGTTTGGTAAACTGTTGGAAAAAAAGCTACCCTCCTTTACCAGGTGACCATTTAGGAGGGCCCAGAAAAATCTTATCTTCTATATATTTCTTGTAGACCACAACTCAACATCACAGTGAGTACCCTTCCTTGAGAGAAATGTCTAACAATTTTAGAAAAATATGACTTAAAATCTTATCTTCCAAACATTTTGATCACAGACTCATTTATAAAATCACTTTTTATAAGCAGATTCTCAGCAATTTACCAAAAATGGCTGGATTAACTGTTGGGATCAATGAGATGCCAGAAACCAGCAAGCTAGATGAACGAACAGTCCTTTGGTACATCATTGTCATGTGTATGTTTGATGTAATTGAAAGGCAGGGATTTTATGCTTTAATAACCTATAGTTATGCAAACTGGATTAAAAAAATGAAGCATGCCACTACAGATGTTTCACAGAGGAAGTATCCATACAAGTTCTGAAATTTGCCCAGATTCCAGATGTTACCTGCAGTACAGATGTGGCAGGAAGAGTGAGGTGCCCAGGCTATGCCATTGACACAGGCCCGGTGATTGTTTAACCTTGCGACCGGAGTGCAGGGCACACGCACGTCCAGAATCACCACCTGCAACGCAAACGCCAGTTTATAACCCAGCAGACAGCAGAGGTATCAGGTAACAGATCATGCAATCAGGTAACAGATCATGCTACCAGCTATTTCCCAGCAGCCCTCGGAGAGATTTCAATTTACAGCAAAAACCAGTGTCTGCATTTCTTGGCAAATGCTTCCAAGACCGTTACAATTTGAAATGACACAAGAGGCTCTTAAAATCAAAACAAAGGACCAGGTAATGAAGTGCTTTTATCTAAAAGTTAGGAGGACAAAAAACAACAACAACAAAAAATCAAACTTAGGCACTATTGCAACACACGATTAAGACGATTAACAGATTAAACTAACCGCCACATCAGGCTGTTTCTTGAAGAAAGCCAGAGTTTTTGTATCCATTAGTTACTATCAAACAAGCTAACCATTTTGAATCATTCTTATGTCTAAGTTGCCAAGTTTATGGTGAGAAAGTAACTCTAACACTGACAATAGAGCAGAAAAGAATAAAGATAATATATACACAGTTACCATTAAAGTACTCTTCAGTCAGTAAATGCTAAGTGAACCTGAAACCATGTTCTTAGTGACAAAAATGATTTCCCATATATTGACCTACTGTCCAACTAAACCAAGGCCTCTTTTATAAAGGTATCATGACAAGGTCACGTCAAAACTTCAGGGATCTGAAAATCAGATTTGAATAATTCCTGAAATCTTATCTTTAAACTAAACGAATATCTTTGTCATCAGTTTACATATAATGCTTTAGAGTTGTTCACAGGATACACCATCCCTGTTCCTGAGGGTGCAGCAGGTTTTGTAAGTAGACTTTAAATCATGTTCTAGATTATGCCATTAAGACATTAAAATATTACTGGCTTAATTGGCCAGTTCCTCATTTTGGATGACCTATCTGAATCGCTGGACCAGGACTCTCAATATTCTAGATATTCTGGGTCAATGCCACAGCGGCTGTGTTCTGATCTCCTTCGGGACACCTGACGGGCAGGTGTAAGGCGAGATCCCGCAGAACTGCCAGCTGTACCGCCTGTGGCTACACTGCCCACCCCACTGGCACCAAGCCCCTGGCGAGAGTCACCTCCATGCCATCCATGGCCATGGTGGCCAGGTAGTTGGGGTCCTGCTTGTTCCAGCACAGCCGCAGCAGGGGGTGGTGCTGGGGGTCCTCGTAGATGATGGTGCTGT